GTATGAACCCTTTGTACGAACAAAAGTAAGATAAATTTAGGATAAGAATACGAACATGTTCTTGCATGAGGCCCAATGTTTTCAAAATCCCTTCTTACTCTTGCATTCATGGCTTGCAAAACTGCACTGTAGGCCGTGCGCAGTAGTTGTAAAAGAAAATAACCCAAAATTACCAAATGCATTCTACGGGCTGGCAGTYGTCACAGCGTTAACTCCTGGAGCTCGTAGCAGGAGAGAGAAACAAAAACATGATGCAGACCAAACTGTTGTGTGAATAAGAAAAACATGATCAAAGAAGATGCTACTGGACTCATTATCCAACTAATAGTTTGCCAATTTTTCTACCCCCCCTTTCACACTGCTGTGGACTCATTTTATTTGCCACACAAAGTTCAATATCCAGCTGTGGTGGTGGTTTTATTGGCAGCCTCATTTGTAGCTTCTGCTGCTRGCTTTAATTGGCACGAATGATGAGCAGCATCAAAAGGTGTTAGTCTGACAGGATTTCTGAAAAATAAGATATTAAATCTTCGCATGAAGATKAAAAAAAAGGCTTTGAAAGGTTGGACTATTTAGTAGAAGTGTTTCATTATAACACTAGTTAGGCAGGTCAAATTAGGATACCATCTCGACACGAAATGTCTTATTGCAGAAACAACCTCAGCCTTTTAATTACTGCGTCTGAATCTGCAGCGTTCCCTCCTCCTGGTCTAACCTCGCTGTTTCTGCCCCCTGTTTCTCTCTGCAGAGGATTTTCAACTCGTTCGTGTACACAGAGAAGACATCAAACGGAGAGACAGAAGTGCAGCAGGTGAGTAACAAAGGCCTCTGCTGTCTGCTGTGTGTGTGTGTGTGTGTGTGCATGCGCGTGCCTTCTTGTCGGTGCATGCACGTGCCACGGAGGATGTCTGTCTGTGGTCTTCTGCAGCGTTCAATTCAGCAGCACTGAACACACACACCAGGGGGTTTATTAAAATTCTATGGCTGCTGTCTCATCGGCTTTGAAGTTGTTGTTTTTTTCCCCCCACTCGTCTGTCTCTAGCTCTCTTTCCCKTCTGATAACGAGCGCAAAGCTCGAGTTTGACACAGTGAGAAGGCTCGAAGAAARGATGAACGGGCTGCAGACGGAAAGGAAACGTTTGTCTCAAATGACCGCTCCAATTCTCAAGTCAAAACTTTATGCGTGCCTCTTTTTTTCTTTTTGGCTTCATAGTGGAAAATCTGCTCTGAATTTTTTGGCAACTTGTGTCCAATCAAACATAACTTAGAGCAGACACTGTGTGTGTGTGTTTGTGTGTGTTTGTGTGTGTTTGCTCTCCTGCGTCAGGGATCTTGGAATAGTGACAGTATACACCACACAGGTAAACAGCCACCAGCAAGAACAGACAGGTTGATGGTTGTTTGCATGTCTCTGGTGGCAGACTCGTATATCCGTCTGTGTACAAAGTACAGTATCTCACACCTCGCTGGTATTCAGTATACTACACAGCTCATCTTGAAGCATGGTTTTCTTCTCTTTTCTAAAACAATATTATTAGGTTGTAGATGTGATATATTTGGCTTTAACCAGAGTCAAGTTTCTCACTTGCCCCTTTTCCACTAGTGCTACTTAGTGTGGTGTCTGAACGGGTGCTTTTCCATTGACGTTCCAGTCCGGTTCCAGTGGGTGTGTTTTGGGCGGTTGGTGGAGGTGGGTTTGTGGGTTTTTCAAAAAAGAGTTAATGCGCAAAATGAGAGATGGAAACACATTTACCGAATAAGTTCTGAAATTTTAAAAATTCGCAAAAAATTTGGATTAAAGTTGGATGGAAACACGACTAATGTTGCTGCTACAATTGGAAAAATGGCGCATCTAGTTGTTGTTGTAAAGGCAGCTCAGACGCAACCAGTGATTCCACCCCCAGCCWATCAGTGACGAACAGTGTTCTGATGTCGCATTTTGGTGTCGACTGGGACGACTTGGAACCACAACGAAGTAGGTACYAAAAAAAGGGCTGGTTCCAAGAATCTGGCCTAAYGRAAATGGCTTGGAACCGTACCGAACTGTACCGACACTACACTAAGTGGCACTAGTSGAAAAGGGGCATACGGTTCCTTTTTAGCTAATCATCTAAGTGAGCGGGATGCCCTCAAAATTTAAGCTCTAGTTACTTTGGATTTTTGTTTTGCCATAGCTTTATTGTTTTTGTGCTCTGTTAGGGGTGTAAGAAAATATCAATACACTGAAATATCGCGATATTTCATTTTCCGATACTGTATCGATATTCTACAGTCCTGTATCAATTTTTTATTAAGGTTTAAAATGTCAACTTTCCTGCCAGCCATTCA